CCCTGACTCACCCTCGCTGGCTGGGGAACTCGGCAACTCTGCGGGAGTCCCGGCCGAGCCGCTCCCAGGGACCCAGGAGTCGGGGCCCAGCGTCCGACCCGGAGCGGTGAGTGGGGTGCTTCTCTGTCCCGGGAGGTGGGTGGCTGGTGTAGGTCGGGCCGGGAGCCCGGTCGTCCTGTCAGGTGGGCGGAACTGGCCCAGGTGCGGCCGGCGGCTGGCACTGTGGCCTGGGCGGGCCCTTGGGACACGCGAGGAGCTGGGGGTGGGGTAGGGGACATAAGCTGGGCCGTGGCAGGCTCGTGAGGCGCCTGTCCAGGGCGTGCGGCAGGCCCGACCAAGTGACAGAGAGGAGTTCCGCAGGCTGGGGTCCGCCTTGGGGTTCTGGACCACGTTCTCCTTTCTCGGAGATGTCTAGGCAAACAGGGACAGCTCAATCCTATTTGCCCCTGGAAGCCTCTAGACCCCTACCCCCATGTCCTTATCAGTCTGTCTTCTGAACTTCAAGATCCCCCCACCCCACACACACACATTATTCGGACCTCCTGGGTTACACCAGAACACCTTGGAAAAGTACTAAGCTGAGGCCCAGATCTGCGACTATCAGAACCCTCCCCCCTTCCCCTCCCCACCCTCAGTTTCCCCTAAAGCTCTCCCGGGGCCCTGCTGACAGCAGTCCCCAGTCTTCCTGGGCCCTGAAGGCTGGGCTGGGTGGGGAGGGGCACTGGGTTAAGGAGTCCCACCGAGTTGCAACTATCAGCAGGGAAGCCTTCATCTCTTTGGGAAGAAGTCAGGGCATGGGATGGGGGGTGCTGGGGGGGAGTGCCGGGGAGTGCGGGGGCTGGAGGGAGAAGCAGGCCTCTGCCTGTGCTGGGGGCGGGGCTCACACCTGGGCCAAGGTGGCCACTCTCGTCCCTCCTCTGCCCAGCCTGCAGTCTGATAGCCCTCTCCAAAGATGCCCCCCCATCTCAAGGGTCTCTCCGGAGATTGATCAGAGGGACAACAGACAGGACGCAGGCAGGTTCAGACGCAGCATGCCTTGGCCGCCTCGGGCCAAGTCATTTCTCTCCCCCAGCACTGGAAAGTAAGGGTCCTGTCTGCCACGGCCCCCCACCCCGGTCCCAAAGCACCCTGGTCAGAGGAGGTGCCAGTGGGGTTCCGATTAGCTGCCGATCTAAGCGTCAGAGGTTCAAGTTCACGAACCCACTCCAGGACAGAGGTCTCTCTTGGTCTGCTCCAAGAAAGGGGACAAGCTCAGGAGTAGCCCACTGCCAACATATGGGGGTCTCCAGGAGCGGATGTGGGTGCGGTTTTTGGCGTTGGTCATCCTAAGTAAGTGGTTCTTCTCTGGGTCCTTGGCTCAGCCAGCCCCTCTCTCTGAGCCCTCCCCACAGCCCTGCTCAGGCAGGGGAGGTGGGAGGTGGACAGCCATGCGGAGACTTAATGGCAGGCTTGCAGCGACTGAGTTTGAGCCAGCAGACAGATAATGATACCTCCGAGGTAGCCCCTGACTCTGTGTACGTCTGCACTGTGCGGGCAGGGGTGGGCTTGGGACTCCACGCGGGTCCACATTTGGAATTGAGTCGTCTTCCCCCCTCCCCCAAACACACACACACACACACACACACACACACAGGCATACCAACTGAGAGTGGGTTTGTACCTCTGGGACTCCTTCTGCATCAGATCCACATTTGGAATCGAGTCGTCTTCCCGCCCCCGCCCCCCCTACACACACACACAGGCATACCAACTGAGAGTGGGTGTTGTGCCTCTGGGACACCCCTTGGCTCACCCTGTGTGTGTCCTGAAACTTTGTCACCACACGCTTGCCTGTGCACATGCCAAACACCCCCAGCCGTCCCTCTATGGCTGCCATGTAGTTGACTTCTGGGTATTACTGTTCACCCAAGTTTCTGCCCATTACTTGGTGACGGGCTGTCTGCAGCAGGGTGCTCCCACTCTGCCTGGGTGTGCCCCTGAGCGTATGGGATGTGCCCTGTGAGGCACTGCTGGGGGACCCTGAGCGAGTGCACACACATACACATACGTGTGCGCGCATGCATGTGTGCGTGTGTGTGATGTGTCATGCATCTGCGTCTGGCCCCATGGAGGGGTGAGGCCCCCACGATGCCCAAGTGTGGGCAGGCCGATGCTGCCCTCTGCCTGTCAATCCCTGGGCTCAGGTTCACCGGGATGGGACTGGACTGGGGGCCCCATCCCAGTCCAGCTAGGAGCCATCTCCAGGCCTGTGGGGGACAGGAGGGAACTGGCCGAGATGAAAGACAGGAAACCTTCCCAGGAGGGGGCGGGAGGCCTGAGGGGACCATGTAGCAACCAGAAACAGTGTTCTCTTTGCCTGGGGAAGACTGGGGGCTCCTGGAGGCTGCCTACCAATGAGGCCAGGGAATGCAAGGATGCTGAGAGTACAGACTGGGGGGGGGGGTCCAGGAGCCCCCTGGGAGGTGTGTGTGTGTATTGGAGGGGTGTGTCCTGCTGCCTCTTTGCCTCACCCCTTCAGCATTGGAAGAGGGTCCCTGGCTGTGACTGAGGGTGCTGTCTGGCTTGTTGCCCATGTCCCAGTAGGCCAGTGGGCCCGGGCAGTCTTCGGTGTCTCCCTGGCCCGGATAGTGTGCAGACCCCCACCCTCTGTGTGCCCAGGGCTCTATTCCACACCGCAGACTGGGCTCAGGTCACTTTGGAGACTTAGGTGTCCTACCCCCCAGGTTGACCAGCCTTCGGTGTGGCCACTCCCTGCCCCTGGGGCCGTAACCAGAGCCTGGCTCCAGCCTGCTTTTCCGGTTGGAGGTTGGAGGTGGTGCCCAGAGCAGAGTGCCCCTGAAAAGTGTGGGGGGGGAGGACACCCCAGGCTGGTCCCAGGCACGCACCCCGGAAGTCTGGGGCCTTGGGACGCACCCAGGACAGAGGTGGTGGGTGGTGAGAGTGAGCTGGGGGATCCTGAAGTCCCAGGTTTCCAGGAGAGGGCCCCTCTGGGGAAGGTGAGAAGCAACAGTCCTGCAGCCCTGTCCCCTGAGCTGGGAGAGAGAAGTCCAAAGGGACCACAGGTGCGGGCTGAGGATTGCCAGGAGTGGAAGACAGGTGAGGCCCTGAGCGGCCAGACTCAGGGAGGGGAGCTGGGGGAAGGAAGCGGAGGGTCCTGAGAGGTTTAGGCGGGCCAGGGCTCTCCTGAGGGCACTCAGGCCAGGGCACCCACCCCTTACAGTGTCTGCTCGGCCCCTTCCTCGCCCATAGGCAGGATGATCCCCGTGGCCGAGTTCAAGCAGTTCTCGGAGCAGCAGCCCGCCTTCAAGGTGCTGAAACCCTGGTGGGACGTGCTGGCGGAGTACCTCACGGTGGCCATGCTGATGATCGGGGTCTTCGGCTGCACCCTCCAGGTGAGGGGCGGGGCCTCTGGACCGGGGGCGGGGCTTCCCCGGAGAGGGGCAGCGGCTGGAATGGTGGTGCTGAGGGGGCGGGGCTGGAATGCCAGGGGACGCTGGGTCCCCTGGAGCAGACACCCGCCCGTGGCGCTGCCCCTGCCGCGTTCTGGGGTCCTCTGGGTCCCGCCCAGGCCTCGACTTCGCCCGGGACATTCACAGGCCCGTGGGCACACCCCGCTTGCAGAGACCAAGTGAGGGGTGGGGTGGGCCTCCCCTGGCCTGTCAGTCCCCTCACTCACGCTGCCCGGCCCTTTCCCTCGTCCGCAGGTGACACAGGACAAGATCATCTGCCTGCCGAGTCATGAGCCCCGTGAGAACGCATCGGCTGCCCCGTGCCGGCAGCTGCTGCCGCGGGGGGTGTCCGAGCAGATGGGGGCCCTGCGGGAGCTGAGCGGCCGCAAGAACAACTTGGACCTGCAGCAGTACAATTTCATCAACCAGCTGTGCTACGAGACGGCCCTGCACTGGTACGCCAAATACTTCCCCTACCTGGTGGTCATCCACACGCTCATCTTCATGGTCTGCACCAGCTTCTGGTTCAAGTTCCCGGGCACCAGCTCCAAGATTGAGCACTTCATCTCCATCCTGGGCAAGTGCTTCGACTCGCCGTGGACCACCCGCGCCCTGTCCGAGGTCTCTGGGGAGAACCACAAGGGGCCCTGCCCCCGGGCGCGTGGTGGCTGTGGCTGCAGGTGCGGGGGCAGCCACTGGCGGAGGCCCAGGCTCGGGGAAGGCAGGTGAGGGCGAGAAAGAGAAGATGCTGGCGGAGCCGGAGAAGGTGGTGACCGAGCCGCCGGCCGTCACGCTCCTGGACAAGAAGGAGGGTGAGCAGGCCAAGGCCCTGTTTGAGAAAGTCAAGAAGTTCCGGGTGCACGTGGAGGAGGGGGACATCCTGTACAGGATGTACATCCGGCAGACGGTGCTCAAGGTGTGCAAGTTCGTCGCCATCCTGGCCTACAACCTGGTCTACGTGGGGCAGATCAGCTTCCTGGTGGCCTGCAGGGTGGAGACGTCGGAGGTCACGGGCTATGCCAGCTTCTGCTGCAACCACACCAAAGCCCATCTCTTCTCCAAGCTGGCCTTCTGCTACATCTCCTTCATGTGCGTCTACGGCCTCACCTGCCTCTACACCCTCTACTGGCTCTTCCACCGGCCCCTCAAGGAGTATTCCTTCCGCTCGGTGCGCGAGGAGACGGGCATGGTGGACATCCCTGACGTCAAGAACGACTTCGCCTTCATGCTGCACCTCATCGACCAGTACGACTCGCTCTACTCCAAGCGCTTCGCCGTCTTCCTCTCCGAGGTCAGCGAGAGCCGCCTCAAGCAGCTCAACCTCAACCACGAGTGGACGGCCGAGAAGTTGCGGCAGAAGCTGCAGCGCAACGCCCGCGGCTGCCTGGAGCTGGGCCTCTGCATGCTGCCCGGCCTGCCCGACACCGTCTTCGAGCTCAGCGAGCTGGAGGCCCTGCGGCTGGAGGCCATCAGCGACGTGGCCTTCCCGCCGGCCCTCTCGCAGCTGGTGCACCTGCAGGAGCTCAGCCTGCTGCACTCACCCGCCAGGCTACCCTTCTCCTCGCAGGTCTTCCTGCGGGACCGCCTCAAGGTCATGCGGGTCAAGTGCGAGGAGCTGCGGGAGGTGCCCCTCTGGGTATTTGGGCTACGCGGCCTGGAGGAGCTGCACCTCGAGGGCCTCTTCCCCGCCGAGCTGGCCCGGGTGGCCGCCCTGGAGAGCCTGCGCGAGCTGAAGCAGCTCAAGGTGCTGTCTCTGCGCAGCAACGCCAGCAAGGTCCCAGCCAGCGTGACCGACGTGGCCGGCCACCTGCAGCGGCTCAGCCTGCACAACGACGGCGCCCGCCTGCTGGCCCTCAACAGCCTCAAGAAGCTGGCCGCACTGCGGGAGCTGGAGCTGGTGGCCTGCGGGCTGGAGCGCATCCCGCACGCCGTCTTCAGCCTGGGGGCCCTGCAGGACCTGGACCTCCGGGACAACCATCTGCGCTCCATGGAGGAGATCCTCAGCTTCCAGCACTGCCGGAAGCTGGTCACGCTCCGGCTCTGGCACAACCAGATCGCTCACGTGCCTGAGCATGTGCGCAAGCTGCGGAGCCTGGAGCAGCTCTACCTCAGCCACAACAAGCTGGAGGCCCTGCCCACCCAGCTGGGCCTGTGTGCAGGCCTCCGCCTGCTGGACGTCTCCCACAACGGGCTGCGCGCCCTGCCGCCTGGCCTGGGCCTGCTCCAGAGCCTGCAACACCTGGCCCTCTCCTACAATGCCCTGGAGGCCCTGCCTGACGAGCTCTTCTTCTGCCGCAAGCTGCGGACGTTGCTCCTGGGCTATAACCACCTGGGCCAGCTCTCGCCCCTTGTGGGGACGCTTAAGGCCCTCAGCCGCCTGGAGCTCAAGGGCAACCGGCTGGAGGTGCTGCCCGAGCAGCTGGGCCACTGCGTGGCGCTCAAGAGGACGGGGCTGGTGGTGGAGGACACCCTCTACGAGGGTCTGCCAGCCGGAGTGCGGGAAAAGATGGAGGAGGAGTGAGGGCCAGGAGCCAGGCAGGGTGTGGCAGGTGGAGGTGACGGAGCGCCCCACCGGGAGGAGGTGCCGCCACCCCGGAGGAGATCTCTGCCATTGTGTGCCAGCCTTGTGGGACTGGGGCAAGCGCCCAAGACTGGTTTGGCTGGGGGAGCGACAGGAAGCTGGGGATTTGGGGTGGAACCCCAGGTGTAGGGATCATTCACCTTCGTCTTAGTCATGGGACTCCTAGGCTCAAGCCTCACCCCTGTCCTTGCTTCACCCTGGATCACAACAGCTTCAGCTCCCCTCCCACCCACCCCACCCACCCTCACCCCACCCCCATTAGTGCCTCTGGGTAGGGGAGTAGGGGGAGAAAAACATCCCAATGGGATTTCTAACTCATTTCCCGCCAACAGACCGGTGTGTATCTGGGGTTCTCTCCCAAGGAGGGGACTCAGATAAGAGACCAGCTCCCTAACTTTGATGCTAACTGCCCGCCTTTTGGTGTTGCTGTTGGTTGGATTCCACCTCCTGGTTTTCTCCACTGTCATCTGCACAGGAGGGGAGCACCAGGCCTTTCTGCCGCGTCGCCGCTGGTGAGTTCTGACCACTGGCCTTCTGACCAGGAGTTAGGTGTGTAATTGTGTGCTCCACGCAGACCTCCCTCTGAGGCCAGTCCCTTATTTTTATCAGCCGATTTCTCTCATTGACACTCAACCTCAGAACAATGGCCAACTGGTAGGAGCTGGTGTGAAGGGGGCAGTCCCAGCCCCGCCCACTCTGATTCAGGAGGTCTGTGCAGGGGCCCAGGGGTCCTTGGGAAATGCTTGCTGCCTGGAGGGTGGAGACCCGGATGGCCAGAGCAAGGATCCGGGACTCTTTTCCTGTCCTACCTAAGCCCCCTGTGTAGAGGAGCCATGGTAGCTTAGTGGTTACATGTTAGGCTGCTAACGACAAGGTCAGCGGTTGGAAACTACCTGCTGCTCCGAGGGAGAAAGATGAGGCTTTCCACTCCTGTGAAGAGTTGCGGTCCCGGCAATCACAGGAGCAGTTTCACCCTGTCTTGTAGGGTTGCCGTGAGTCAGATTCGACTCGATGGCAGTGAGTGAGGCCCCTCTGGGGCTCCGAGAAAGTAAAGGGACCTGCTTTCTCTGGTGAAAAGTCCTCAGATGGTTTCAGACTGTTCATGGACTCGGGACGCCTGCTGTGGGGGCGGCAGTGCTCTGAGGACTCATGGACCAGTTGCTATCACGCACATCCTGTCTGGCTCACAGCAACCCCACACGGGTCGGAGTAAACTGGGTACTACAGGGTTTTCAGTGGCTGGTTTTTCAGTAGTAGATTGCCAGGACTTTCTTCCGAGACACCTCTGGGTGGGTGCAACCCTCCATTTTTCAGTGACTGAGTGCATGCACGGAGAACCCGGTGCACCACCGAGCCCTGCTGAGGACCCAGGCTGAACCCCGTTGCCACGACGTCCATACGACATGATTGTGACGACCCTGCGTGTGACAGAGAACAGATCCGTAGGAATGTTTTGGGGGCGGTAATCACTCAATTACTGTACGGTAGTCACTCGATTATCATAACAAACTACGGATAGTATTGAGGAGAATAGGGATTCCACAACACATCACTGTGTTCATGCGGAACCTGTACATGGAGCAAGAGGCAGCCATTGCGGCAGAGCGAGGGGAAACTGCATGGTGCAAAATCGGGGAAGGTGTGTGCATCAGGGCTGTCTCTTCTTAACCATACTTACTCCATCTGTACGCTGAACAGATACTCGGCTATGACCCACAGCACCCCTATGCACTACAGAGGGAAACACAGCCTGGTTCTGCACCAGCTTCACAATCGTCCCTGTGCCTGCGCCCACTGCAGCCACTGTGTCAATTGCTGTCCACACGCCCATCAAGAACCTGCCATGCAGATGACACCGTCTTGCCTGTGGGAAACGAATAGGAAGCACAGACTGATGATGATCCAAGACTACAGCCATCGGTCCAGATCAACATTTAAAAAAATCAGCCAGACCGATCAGCAACATCATGATAAACCGAGGAAAGGTGACAGTCGCAAACAACTTCATTTACTTGGATCTGCAGCAATGCCTATGGAAGCAGCAGTCAAGAAATCAAACGAGGTATTGCATTAGGCAGATGTGCTTCACAAGACCTCTTTAGAGTGTTATAAAGCAAACACTTCATTTTGAGGACTGAGTTGTGCCTGACCCATTTCCATTGCCTCATAGGCGTGTGAGAGTTGGACAATGTATACAGGAGACCAAAGAACTGATACAATTAACTTATTGCTGTAACAAAGATCTTAAGATGATGGACTGCCAGATGAACAACCACCACACACACACAAAAAATCTATCTTGGACGAAGTCCGGCCAGAAAAGACTTCGTCCTATAGACATGGGGCACATTGCCAGGAGAGACTAGTCTCCGAGTAAGGACATCACGCTTGGTGAAGCAGAGAGGCCGTGACAAGATGCACAAGGTGAATGAATGACTTCGACAACGGGGCTCGCTCGTTACCAGTTGTCAGGCTGGTGCAGGATCAGGCCGAGTTTCATTCTCTTCCAAGGCGCTGAGTTAGAACTGACTGATGGCACTGAACAGTCTACTGTGTGGAAGCTGGTGCCCAGGTCTTTCTTCTATGGTATCAACGGGTAGGTTTGAACTGCCAGCCTTTAAATGGCTAGTGGAGTACAAACTGCTTGCATCATTCTGAGACCCCTTTCTGAAGACAGAGTGAAACTTGGTCTTTTGAATGTTCCCTTCGGAAGGGAGCATATATTATATTAGCAAGTGCTTAATAAAGAACATGCGATGGGAATGCGAATCCTGAACTCTGATGCTCACTCACCTCCTGAGTGAGCCTCCTACTTCCCCAGGCCAATTCCACAGCACGTGGGGGGTGTCACGTGGCAGAGCCAAAGGTGTGAGTCTCTGGCACTGGGGCAGGGGCACAGGAGGGGGTGGAGAAGAGGAGGGACTGGAAGTCAGCAGGAGGAGAAACTGGCTGATATCTTCTGTCTGGATTTCTTAGAGGACCCAAGCCGGGCCAGGTATTGACAGAGCACCTGGCACGCCTGACCCAGATCTGGAAGGGGTGTGTGTGTGTGTGTGCTTGGCTACCTGCCAGGTGGTCAAGGTGTGAACCTCCTATTGGCACCTAAGAGCAGAGATAAGAGGTTGAGGACCAAAGGCTTCTTCTAGGTGGGTGTGTTTTCCCAGCACCCTTTTTCCTTTCTGCTGGTCACATGGACCCTCAGCTCTTGACACAACACAATGACTATGCTGCCCAGGCCCCACGATCATTGCAGACTGGGCCCTTGTGACCCATAGGGTTATCACTGGCTAATTTTCAGGAAGATGTACCTAGGCTTTCTTCCTAGTCTTCATCTGGAAACTATAGGTACACGGAAGAGGGCCCTACTGACGACAGGCAGTGAGTGAGCGTGAGTTTCCTTGGATGCTAGAAGGTGGGGGAGAATCAAGCTAGGGTCCGCCACATAGAAGGTGAGGATTCTACCACTGACCACCTCTCAGGATGGAGTACCCTAAGTGTAGCTGCTGCTAAGGCGGGTGTGTGTGTGTGTGTGTGTGTGTGTGTGTGTGTAAGGAGGAGCCTAAACCCAGAATTCTCCTGACTGTCCCGGGGGTGGGCTCAATTCCAGGGATGAGCCGGTGAGTGCTAAAGTTCCACCTAGTCTGGCTGGACACTCACTAGCCTGGACCCTGTTGCTGAGATCAGGGGGCACACCCCAAGATTCCGAAGGTCCCACAGCGAGTCCCACCCTTTGCCTTTTGCCCGTCCTCAGCCAACCTCGGGCATGTTGGGATTGGCAGAGGTGGAACGGGCTCCCCACAGTTGCCTAATTATGGTTAGGAGGCGGCGCCGGCTGAGCGGGACAGGGCGCTGGCCAGCAATAAACATAACAGCGATCCTAAGGAAGGCAACTGTGCAGCCCAGGAGGGCTATCCTGACAGGGTCAGGCCAGGAAGAGCGAGGCGAGGGAAGAAGTCACGGCTGTGAAGACCCGGGACCGCTATGATCAGAGCTGCAGGGATGCACACACGCGCCAGGGTAGCCACGCGCGCTGTCGCGTGTTCCTCCTTTGTACGCATGCGCGCCGTTTTCCCGGAGGCCGGATTTCCGAACCATGCCCCGTGCCCGTGTGTTCGGGGACTCGCGCGTGCGCAATCCAGTGGTGGTCGGAGGAGCGGAACATGCGCGATGCCAGCCGCGAGCTCTAGGTGGCGTCATTCCTCCGGCGGGGGCGAAGCACGCACGCGCGGAAGTTCTCACGCGAAAAGGGCGGGGGGCGCGTCGCGGGCATGCGTTGTGCAGGACGAGACGGCGGCTCGGTGGGGTCAT